AAGTACCTTTTTTTTTTGCAACCGTCTCTTGACTGATATTCCCCACCTCCCTAAAAACATTCCCGATTAGACCCGAAGGCCTCGTCCCCCCGTATCGCCATGGCCTCAGTGTGGGCGGTTAGCATGTGAGTTAGCATACCTTAGCACGTGAGCATTTCACCAGATTACAAGACGTCCCATTGTGCCATTCGCGCTTTGACGTTGTCCGTGGCTTCCGACCGCGAGAGCATTGACAGCTTGATGAATTAGGCCTGACACTTGCCAAAATAGCCGTCCTTTGTGCCAGCTGCCAGTTGAGCGTCTACACACCGTTAATTGAATTGGCAATTTGTGTAACAGTACCTGCCCCTGAGCCTTTGGTGAAACCAGGGACCGCCATTTAGCTCCAATAATCCAGGACTAGGGAATAAGAGGTCTAAGCTTCACGAGAAATTATTGCAGATTTAAAATGACAGTTTGATGCCTTGCTGCCAATTTCCCATTCAATAAGAAATAAATTAACAATAGCAATAATGTTGACTTATAAAAGTGAAAGTTAAATTGACTTTCTAATAGCACAAGCGATTTGAAATTGCCACTGCGGCGAGTAACAAATTGCATTTATTGCAGTCTTGCACCAAATGCTGTTTGTGGCTCGGCTTGTATTGAAGACTAGCAATACATATTGAAAGTGTCAAATGGAAAGCAATACTGTCTCGTAATAAAATACCATTTGCATGTTCGCGAAATGCCGTCGAGGACTTTGGAATATAGCGTCTTTGGGTTTGGCGATACTCTGAATGGAATAACATCATCCTGTATGTCAGTACTCAATAGACAGATATTAGACTGTATATTTTACATTGACTTTACTGTATTGTGCTGGACTTATTAGGTCAGGCGTGATGTATTTGCTCGCGTTTCCACAGTAATATATTTGTATGTGCTCAATCTAGCGTGGCAGGGAGCTAAACTAGAGGAGATGTATTATGGAGAATCATGGCAGGACAGACATTGTGTTGCCTCTGTGCTCCCACAAGCTCTTTATTCATATATCATTTGCGTCACGAGCAAAATGAAGCAGATTAATAGAGCATAATTCCTGAGATCAATATGCAATTATATTCATCTCTCTGGCTGCTCGGGCAGCCGTGCAGAGGCTTGGCGACACATTCGCATAGTCTTGTCGTTGGACAGTATTGAGTGTAGCAGGGAATGACAATTGTTTAAGACGTTTACATGTGCTGTTTATTGTATGCACTTCCTGCTTTTTACTGTCTAGAAACCTTCTAAAATCACCCTTTCATGAATCTGTCTCCTCTAAGACTCATTTGGTTACTTGTTTCTAAAAGCTAATCTGTGGTTCAACATGTTCACATTTTTCATTTTGAAATATTACCCGTAGAGTTTATAGTAGGCAAAGCTCCTCAAGGTCAAGGAATTTGGAGGACGTGTGGCCGATTTCCATGCGGTGATCTTAAGCGAGGATCCTTGTGTGATGAGAGCTATTGTCTGGAGATTGCGCTTTTAAGGAGGAGGATAATTTGAGGCTGGTCAAGTGACCTCTTAACTTAGGTATTTTCTTTGTCGACTGACTTGTACTGCTGGTGGTTGTGAGCACTTTATATGTAGCCTAGCTTAGCCAGACTGATGACAAAAGGTCTGATGGTAGCTTTCATTGGGCAAGGACCACCCAGAGGCTGTCTGTCTGACATGTAAAACAACCAATCACAGATTGTTTTTTGTTACGCTCATGTTTAGGTAGGATGTCCCTACAATAACAGGCATGTGTTTAAAACTCTAACTAAAGAGTCTATACCATGAACTTTACATACTTGACATATTTTTGTAAACCAAGCGTTTAGTTGATCCTGATGAGCTCACATTGTCACAGTTGTAAACATGACGTTGTTCTATGATGGGGTTTGGCTTCACGACAGCTTTGTTTCCAGACAGATCATTGAAGAATGTGAGACACGTCTTCAGATCCTGTAGATTAGAATTCAACCAATCAGATGACTCCACAGTTGCCATATGCATCAGACTACAGGGCTCCAGACTGCGAACAAATGGTTGCATTTTGCGACCAAAATTTGAGAGTGTGTGACTGAATTTTACATCCAGTCACACATGTGCGACCAATAAATTTGCCACACGGTAAACGCATGGTTAAAGGAGCTGTATGTAAGATTGTGGCCAAAACTGGTACTGCAATCAGTTTCAAATTTCTGTAGAGTGGTGTATCCCCTCCCCCTCCCCCATTACTCGAGGTTGCCAGATAGGCTGCAGGATCCAATTTTTTTTTATCCCACACGTTTGTATCTGCAGCTGTGGTAACTAGAGCAGAGCTGGCAACCCGAATGCTGCACAATACTGACTCCGTGATTGGTAGATCGGTGGAGGGTGGAGCTTCAGACCAAAACACAACATGACAGTTGAGGGCTGCAACTTCACTTTTTAGATGACAATATCCTGGCCGGACTGCTGTTGTCAGTGATAAGTATTTGAAATGAACATGATTTCTTAATGTCTAGTGACGTATCAGGGTCATTTTATGATTATTTGAAATACATTTCTTACATACAGCTCCTTTAAGCGTGGAAAGCGCGCGTAAATGTCTGTGGGAAGGTGACGTAGACAAATATCACAACCTGCTATGTGCGTCTGAGCAATAAGCGATCTACCGACTCGTTACCTATCAGCGAATGCAAACAAAATGAAAGCGCTCCGAACCACTGACAGTAAAATAAAGCCCCGAACTTGCCAGTCGCGGGCCGATCTCGCTCACGCAACACTGTTAGTAGGAGATCCAGTGAAGAAATCCATTGAATTCGCCTCAGAATTTATAACATCATCACCACGAGATCCAGTGAGAAACATTCTGATTCAGTGCTGAGTTCTGTTATAAACTATTGATATCAGACTAAACAGCGCTGATGTGGAAACCCGTAGAAACACTTATAGTAGGTTTTCAGTCCAGAAATCAGCAATTCACCATGGATTTAGGCTAATGTAGTAACATAACTCTAACCATAAATATGATAATGTGACAAAATTTGAGTCTGGAGCCCTGTGAACTTAAAATAAAACAGCATATGAAGAGTTCAGATGCAAAAGCCTCTAAATGCCATTTGAAATTTTCTTCTAGAATGGTCATTTTTATCAAACTTGTATATTTAAGTTCAGTAATTTCACTTAAATAACAATTAATAGGTAATTATCATTGCAATTTAAGTGAAATCACTGAACTTAAATATACAAGCTTGATAAAAATGATCATTCTAGAAGAAAATTTCAAATGGCACTTAGAGGCTTTTGCATCTGAACTCTTCATATCATAATGTAAAGTCTATTCATTATTAAAGAATTTGTCAGTATTAGTTATTTTGGGGGAAATTTGAATAATTTCAACTGCGCTCTTAGTAAAAAATCCTATGGGCATGACGTCTGAGACCTACATGATATGCAGTTTTCACACTGGGTTCAGTTTTGTTTCCTTTTCAATTTATTTACTGTGCCATTACTATGTTGTTGGACTTATTTGGGCAGACATGATGTAACCTTGCGTTTTTATTTTATTATATATATATATATATATATAGTATCCTTGTATTACAGTGTGTTTGCTGTATTGTGCAAGACTTATCTTTCTTTCTTTAAGGCACATTAGATGCTGTTTCAATTCAGGTCTATTTTCAGAATTGTATTTATTTATTTTATGGCTCGATGTGAAGAATATTTCCACATAAGCTTTTGTAGTTTCAAAGGGAAAAAAACCTAATGATAGTAACTGTTTGTTTATAATTCATTTAAACCAGGTATCACATTGCCATTCTTGCTGTAGGTTAATTACGTTTACTCATCGATTTCCAAATGTCGATTTCCAAATTTATTCCCATTTGGTTTTTGAAAATTGTAAATTTCGGAACTGTTTGTGTTGCCAAATAAACCAAAATCCAACAACAGACAGACATATCAAAAGCATGTGCGTGTGTGTGCCAGGCTGCGTTGATTGTGCGTGCTTGAATGCACTGTGTTTGATGTGCAGGTATGTGTGTGTGTGTGATCCTCAGGGCGTAAGAGCTCCCTCTGCTGTGCGCTGAGAGCCTCCGTGTCCTTGTCCCACCGGATTGTAGCTCAGGATTGTTTGCCTTTCCACCCACAGTGGCGGCTACTGACCCCGACGCTCCAGGGACAGCGCTGAGAGCCCGGCTCTCTCTCTCCTCCGGCTTCCGCTGCCCTTCCCGCTTGTGTTGTGGCAGGAATGTTCCTGCGGGGCGGACACAGGGCTTAGTGCTGAAAGCATTACCAGAGGGGAGAAGTGTGTTTACCCTGCTTGAGGCTCTCTGAAGGACAGAGGCTTCTCATGTGGGTCCCGGCCCCTCTCGTGCATGCTCACCTGGGGCACGATGTCCTTACGTCCCCGTTACGCCCTCCCCGAACGGCAAAGTGTTGTTTGCTACTGGTCCTTGAGAATCCTTAATGGCCGTTCAGCGCTTTATTACATCATTAATTGCACTTAATTCAGCAACATTACCCGAACGCCTGGCTAGGCTTGGAAAATTAAGTACAGAGCACTTTGTTATAAAATTCTCTATAATGAGCTCTGGTGGGACAAGGTCTGTTAAGTTTGAAATCACCCCAGGCCATTTTTTAGCAGAGCCTGAGCCGACTTTAAAGTTGGAAACTTGGAAAAAATGCCCTGAGGGCGCTGTTCTCTGGGTGCTTTGCAGCTCAATGGATGTGGCGATAATAGTCCTGCTATAAACAGCGGGCTTTGTTGCACCAAGCCTGGCTGAATATGCAGAGCAGAGCCGTTCCGAGGCTTTGATTTGCATCTGTGTATTTACAGTACCGGGGGCTTAGTATTATTGGGGCGGAAGTGTTTGTTTAACAGTTTACCGTATCTGTTTAAAATCGCACGGGCAGATTCCAATTCCAGGTTCGTTTGGATTTAAAGCGGAAAACGTGCGTGCGCATGCCGACACGAGCGCGCTCACACTGTGTGTTTCTCTTCACAGCTATCGGGTCCCAGCGGAGGCGGAGCCCCAGCATTGTTGCCTCGGAGATCTTTGAGCCTCACCTTGGCAGCCACATTCTGCAGGTAAGATGAGATTCAGACTATTAAATCTGCCTTTGTTCACTCAAAACACCCTGGTGTTCTTAAAGTTCGGGACGAGCTCGAGATCAACATTGGGTGTGAAGATCATAATGTGCAGAATTGGTATGCAAATCATGTACAAAAGTTGAAATGAAAAGACACTTTATTTTCTGAAGGCTAGTGGTATTTTGTTCGCTTTTTCCTTACAAAATTTGCGTTGTCTTTAAGTCATATGTTCACTGTAAAAACGAATATGCTTTATCTAATCAATAAAATTGTGGCAACAGATTACAAGCAATATTATTTATTAAATTGAACAAAGTTGAATTGAGTAATAGTTAATCAAATTAATATTCTAATTAATTCTAATTTGTACAATTTAATTGATAATATTGCTTGTAATATGTTGCCACAATTTTATTGATTAGATAAAGAATATTATTTTTTTTCAGTGTTGGAATGATCATATTTATGAGATGAATAAATATGATAATTACGTTCTGATTTCTGAGTTTCAGTTAAAGATCGTTTCATGGGAAAAAGCGAATTGTTATTGGTCAAAATTACTTTTCAGTTTGATTGGTGAGTGTTCAAATTATTTTGTGAAACACTTATGATAGTAATTGCCAGAAAATACCAATTCCAGTTAGAAATCCTTTGCACTTAACTATGTTTTACAAGCACTCAAATAAGTGATATAAAAGTGCCCAATGTGTCCATTGTATTTCGAGCAAAATAGGTTATTTGAACACAAATAAGATTTTAGTAAGTGCAGCGTGAGTGAGAAAATGTAATATTTTACATAATAACGCATGCAGGACATTTGGAAATCTGTTAGTCGTAAGCATTCATTAGTAATTTATTAAGATGAATAGCAAAATCCAGTTGCTATGAATACATTAGCAGGCGTTCTACAATGACCTGGGTGAATGAAATCCGTCACAGATGTACTAATGTGTGTGTTCAGAGATTACAGGTCTGTTGTCTCAAGACTTATGTGGTGTCTCTTAGCTGTTTAGCATGCAAGTAAATGAAGGATGACTCTTCCTCAGTGTGCTGGTGTTTCGGGAAATCTCAAGGGGAGGAGGCGAGGAGTTTCCTATTTCACCTCAAAATTGTTTTTCAGCCATGCTTTGCTACAGCACTGATGTCCTTTCTAATTCGTTTTAATGACACAGAACGGAAAGCGCAATTTACACCAGTCACCTGTGTCCAAAAAAAGCGGATTAGGAATATTTATATAGCGGTTCGCCGGTCCCCGGACTGCCGGCGCTATTCCCTTACGACAGGTTAAGTGTGTGACAGCAAAGCGGAAATTTATAATTAACACCAATACCAGGCTGGAAGTCTGTCGAGGCGTGGCCTTTTCAAGGAAGGACTTGTTCCTGGCAAATTGTCCCCATTAATCTTCAGCTTAATTGATTGTGAAAAGTTTTAGGATGACATTTTAAAAAAAGCATGCTCGGCTGGTGATTGATCTGAAGAAAATGAACTAATAATGGATGCAAGGCAGTCATTAGTTGTCGAGCGCCGAGGCTAATTTTAGACAGCTTAAACCTTGTTTGATAGCGTTTAATAAAGAGGACGTGGGGGAAGAGCTGCCAACCGGCCTTCACCTGCAAATGGACGTTACGCATAAATGCTCACGCGTATATGCACTTTTACATAGAGTCATCCTGTTTCTTATTTCATATGGCTTCGGTTTTTCTGTTTGTTTGAATGCTATGCCGATGTTGATATTGGTGTTCATTCAGATTTGTTGATATTGGTTTCTCATTAAATCAATTGTTGATAACATTATGGTTTCATATCACTTCACTGTATTCTTTATGAACAGTGTGTTTTATGCAAAAAGTCACTTTAAGGAGACTTGTGCATGTGGCAGGTGTGGTAGAAGAGGAATAATTGATTACATACATTTTCATTTACTTTGTATATTATTTTCATAGTTCTGTAAGGTTAAGTCAAATGCTTTGTCTATATAGAGGAGAGGTTCACTTTAAAGTATGTAAACATAAAAGCAACAATGAAATCAAAATCAACCCCATTAAGCTTTTAATAGCTATAATTATTGTTCCTGGTTTTATTTTGAAGGATTCATCGATTTGCTTTTAAGGGTGTTTTCACAGTTGTAGTTCGGTTCTCTTAGTTCTTTTGGTTTGGACCAAAAAATAAAATGATACATTTAGTCTTCATTCGATTAGTCTTCACACTAATCAATTTTTTTAAGAGCGATCCTAAAGATACTATCTATGTTTCTGGCTAAATGTGCTTATAAATAGATTTGATGGTATTTTTACCAGCTACGAACTTGTGAAAAGCTCTTGTTCTTGAGCATTATGTTCTTTTTTGGGTCGCATTTTGTCATTAGTATGTTTAGATGTCTTTGGTCTGTGATGCGTTCATATTTCAGTCGAAACACACCAGAGTTCGTTTGGAAGTAGACCGTGACTTTTCAGGGATCTCGGTCCGTTTGTTTGGCAATGTTTACACAGATTCACATGAACCGGTTTAATGTAACCATACATGCCATGTGTGAACACACCCTAAATTAACTTTTATTCTCTAATGGTAGCTATGTATAAAGCAGCTTTCTGTTGGTCAATTCTGCGAAATTGTATGACCAACTTGAACACAAGCAAAATCTCCATGCATGGGAAGTTTTTCAGCCTCACACAAAACCCCCAATTGTGCAGATTTCTTTTAAAAATGTCTGTATTTTGCTGTAGCACCTCATTGCAGTACATAAGATCCAGGGGGCGGAGTTGGATCCAGATCTGAGGGGTGGAGTTGGGTAGGTTTAGGGGTGGGTTTAGGGATCAGGGGGTGGAGCTGGGTAGGATTAGGGGTGGGTTTAATGATCAGGGTTGGAGATGGGTAGGTTTAGGGGTGGGTTTAGGGATCAGGGGATTAGGTATATGTAAGGTGGGAGGAGTTGGATCTGGATCCGACTCCTCCCCGTGGATTTCATGTTCTGCAGTGAGGACCATCTCGTATTTTGCCCATGAAATTTCACAGCGTAACAGTGCTGCTATTAAGGCCTCAAAGGAGAAGAAAATAATATATTAACCAATGGTATCATAAATTGATTTTCACAATCCTGTCAAAATCTGACAATCAGCTATATTTATTAATATTTTACAATTCCTTATAGAAATCAGATTTCAATAGCAGTCATTTGCTAACCATTATAATTAAACAAATATGAACAAATCAAGTCCCGCCAAACGTAATTTGTTACTGAATATTGTTTCATCATTGGATCACATAGTGGAGGTTAAATGTGTTGCAAATGTTGTATGTTATTGTTTTATTACTATTTAGCTGGATGAGGCAAAACATTTAAAGGAGTAGTTCACTTTAAAAAAAAAAAAAAAAAACTTTTGCTGATAATTTACTCACCCCCATGTCATCCAAGATGTCCATGTCATTCTTTCTTCAGTCGAAAAAAAAAAAGGTTTTTGATGAAAGCATTCCAGGATTTTTCTCCATATAATCGACTTTACTGGGAACCAAACGGTTCAAGGTCCAAATGACCTTTTCACGAGTCATTTCGTTCATTTCGTTCGTTGAATGAACCAAAAGACTTGAAAAGACTTTGTTTGAACAGTTTGAACAGGAGAGTCACAAACGCTCATCACAGAACAGAGCAAGGCGAGCATTTCTGCTCATAAAACTTAAAGTTTGTTATTTATTTGTTTAAATGAATGATCATTTCACTAGACAAGACCCTTATTCATCGTCTGGTGTTGTTTAAAGCCCTTTGAAGCTGCACTGAAACTCTCATTTGGACCTTGAACCGTTTGGTGCCCAATGAAGTCCATTATATGGAGAAAATCCTGGAATGTTTTCATCAAAAACCTTCATTTCTTTTCAACTGAAGAAAGAAAGACATGGACATCATGTCAGCAAAAGTTTTTTTTTTTTAAAGTGAACTACTCCTTTAACTCCTGTAAAGTATGTACAGATAAAATTGGAATGTTTTACTTTTTGCTCTGTGTGGTTTGCATATTGTTTTGTGCTGTTATGTGACCCAGTGACCAGATTTCAGCACAAAAACACTGTGCTTTTTTGTTTACGCACAAACAAGCTGAACACATTGAGTACCCAGTTGTGTCAAGCCAGATAATCAATTAGCTGCTTTAATATGCAGGTCTGTTTGATCGCAGCTGTTGTGACGCTCTGCTTTCCCACTCCTATTTGATGCCATGGCACAATAATATCAATATTGTCTTTTTCTGTCCCAGCTCACACACACAAAAAATATATTTTTAGAAAAGACGCATTTCTGGTGGCAGGCGTGTGGAGGTAAATATCACAACAGAAGATATTTACTTTTCAAGGTTTCTTGCAACAAAAGCTGGTTGTTTTTACTGCTGTACCTTTAAGATTTTTTCCCTTCGTTTAACACCCTACTTGTCCTCCAGTAGGGTCTCTACTTGCCCCGAGGGTGTTATGGTCTCGTGGTGTCGGCACAGGCTGTGTCGGCCCTCTGGGCCACAGAAATGACCGTTATGTCCACTCCCACAGTGCATTGTCATTTGCGTGGGCAGCGGGTCGGATTGATTCCGACAGCAGCGTTAGGTCATTAGCAGAGAGCTCAGAAGTCCTCTGTCAAAGCGCTCCACGCTTCCGCCCAGCTAAATAATAGCATTTATATCACACAGATCATGCTTAGCAAGAGATGAATTATAGATGCAGGGTTTCGTTTTTAAGGCTGATGAGAGCTTAGCTGCCTGTGAAGGGCAAAAGCAGTGTATGGTCATATGGTCATTATATCCTTTTTAGGATATAAGTCTGGTCAGTAAATTAGCTGTGAGCTAATGGAGCCGTAAGCCAATAAATGTTTATGAGTAGGCTTGTTTTGGGAGCTGAGCTTGACTGGCATCAGGCGAGCAGTACTTTTAAAACATCAGAGAGAGAATTAGTGTTATTAAAATGTCCAAACACTCTTCTGTTTATCTTCTGTTGCCTCAACACACCTGCCTGGAAGTTTCTAGCATACCTAGTCAGTCCCTCCAGAAAAACGCGATTATGCGATCGCTGAATTCAATGCAAAATCAGCCAAGGTCCGCATATTTATGCGGGGGCCGCATTTTTTCAAATACGCCGCACTTTCGCCGAATAAATTGCCGATTTTTCTGTGCAAAATATGCGGGGTTTGCATAATTTCATAATCCTCGCATTTTCGTTGCAAAAAAAGTCACATGTATCTTAGCAGAAAGTTGAAAAATGTTGCGTTTGCTTTACACAAGAGCAGCCATTTCCCCCTGTTTCCATGGGAACGTTATGAAGTGACGCAATTACGCGACGCCAGACAGACTCACGGAGGCGATTGACATCTCACAAATCGAACTCGTATAACTGTCTGTCACACGTTCTACCGTCACATCGTTACTTAATAAACAACATAAGATAAAAGAAGTAGCATCAAACAGAAATTACCCGCACACATGGGGTGTTCGAGGCGCACATATAACACTGCAGAGAGTTCAACAGGGAGCGCGCAGCTCTTAAAGGGGCCACACCTTATTTACACTCGTTACAGTCTGAAATAAAACAAGATGAGAAATTAAATATTCCCAGCACTTTCTATGATGTAGTATGCTTGCTTATCAAAGGAAGTAATAAGAAATGACTCTTACATTAGCCTAGTGAGAACAGGATGTTGGGGGAATCACTCTTTTTCATCAAACCGCAATTTTTGCAAGTTCCCTCAATTTTTGCAAATTCCTGCAATTTCATCGCATAAAATTGCATAAATATCCCGCATATTCCATCGCATTTTTAAAGAAAACGGGCCACGTAATCAATCAATTTTTGCCAGCAACAATCATAAAAAAAAACTCAACGTTTTTTTGGAAGGACTGAACACTATTATGGTAAATGTTATATATAAATCGCAAATTTTTTCACAAATTTTTGGAAATTACCACCACAAAATCAGTCATTTTGATCGCAAAAATCACAAAAAAAATCGTGAAATCCTGGTGGGACTGCCTAGTGAGACCTTGATTAGCTGGTTCAGGTGTGTTTAAAGG